TCATTGCTATTAAGCAAAAACAGACGAATCTCTCAGAAAGAAAATATTTTGTATAAAAAAAAAAAAAACAACAATTTTTGTTACAGACCCTTTTAATCCATGACTAGGCACAAATTCTATTATCAACTGCAGGCTGTTTATATATTTAGAAATCAAAATTCTTTAATTATTTAAAGACGTAATTTAAGCCTAACTGATATAATATTTGACTTCATCAAGCAAAGCCATTGGAAGTATTTCTCACAAATGGGATTTGAATAGTTTCCAAACTATTATCTTCACTAAAAATTCAAATACTTTAACTTTAATTTCTCTGCTGAGCTTCAACTCTTTATCAATTTTCTCTCTTCGACTTACCGTTGTCTTAATTTTCAACTTCTGTGTGATCAGCTCCTGGCGGCAAATCTCGTGCACAGCGGTCAAGGCGAATTTGCTGGGCGTATAGATGTTGAGGCTGGGATCGATGTGGCCGGGATTGTAGCCAGCCAGGCCGGCGGTGCTGTTGATGAAGAACAGATGGCCAGCCACTTGACGGCGACGCATGCTGCTGGCGGCCAGCTTGGTGCAGTAGATGCTGCCCATTAGGTTGGTCTGGAGCACATCGGTGATGTCCTTGGTGGGCATGTCCAGCAGATGGCCGTCGCGCAGGATGCCCGCATTGTTGATCAGCACATCGATGCCGCCCAGCTGCTGTTCGATCCACTCGAAGGCGCTGTTCACCTGCGCCTCCGCCGAGACGTCGCAGGTGCGCTGATGGAAGCGCGCCTGCTGTTCCTTGGGCAGTGATTGACGCAGCTGCTCCAGTCGCTCGGTGCGACGTGCCAGGCCAACGACCTGCAAGCCGGCGGCCACCAAGACTTTGGCGCAGGCAGCGCCAATGCCCGAGCTGGCGCCCGTTATGACCGCAACACGATTCTGCCACCGATCCATGCTAGACAACTGAGTGAATGAGTCGATGCGCAGGCCGAGCGACTTATTTATACAGAGAGAGAGAGCGAGAGAGAGTGAGAGGGAGAGAGAGAGTGAGGCTGGCCGCTTATCATTCGCTCTTCTGCTCGCTTTCTCCCTCTCTCTCTCTCTCGCTCTGCCGCTTGGCCTGACGTGTCGCTCGCTCACTGCTCTGCGCTGCGAAACAGGCCACCTCATAACAGCTGCTCCGCGGTTCAGGTTCACTGCGCCGATCCGGCCGGAGGGCTTGTTTGTTTGCCAGCTCTCTGCTGTTATCAGCTCACTCCGTCCGTCCGGCTGGTGATAAGTGCCCCATAGTCTGTGGGTGTCATAAATTGTGAGCGATTTAACATTTAGCAATAGGCTGGCATGAGATTATCATATTCGGCTATGTAGTATCATCATCAAAAACTTTTTGATGAAGAGCTCTTTATTGCATTACAATAAACAGTGTCGAATATTATTGCAGCAATATAATTATAAAGTTTTTGCTTGATTGCTAACTGTTTCTCTTTGGCACACAGCGCTGAAAGTTATTAAAATTTCAGTTTTCTTTTTGTTTGCTCAGTTTTCAGAAAAGTTTTGGCTTCACTCAGCTTTGCCTTTGGCTTTGGCTTGGCTTGGCTTGGCTTTGGCTTTGGCTTTAGAGCTAAGACTGACTTTTAAATTAGCTGCTTGGCAAATGGGCTAATAAGGGTGCCGGCAATATAACCACACGGAGACAAACAGCCGGGCATGTAGATGCACCAACACATGCATACATATATGAATATGTATGGGCTATTAAAAAAAAGCCAACGTGCAGTGCTGTTAAACGACGCCTCAATTTATGCCCAGCCCAACAGGCGATACACACACACGCACACACATGCACACATGCACACCTAAGTACACCTATTGCAACAACTAAAGCACTTCAAATGGTATATGGCAGCCATATGTTGTCGGAGGATCTGCTTGGGTCTTTCTGCTTTATCGCCGTTTTTCCTTTTTTATGGAACGCTCGTAACATTCAAGAGATGCTTAAATGGGAAACAATAAAAGCCCGATGAGTGTGTAGGTGTGTCAGTGTGTGTGTGTGTGTGTGCGGAGTGGTGTATGGCCACAGCTTAAAGGGTTGACGAAGCGCGCGGCAAAGCACTTGGCTCTAGCTTAAGGCCAAATGGGTGCAGCTTCACACGAGTTTCTAACGAGCAATCCGTTTTTTATGCACACTCCTTCTCTCTCTCTCTCTCTCTCTCACGCTCTCCTACTCCCTCTCGCCCAGTCAGTCTGTCTGTCTGGCGGTTTTCTCTGTCTCTTTGGTGTGCTGCTAGTGTTGCAACATGTTGCAAGTGTGTGGTCATGTTCATCAAATCACGACCGTCACTTGGCAGCACTTTATCATGCAATTACAAGTGCGAAACGTTTCGCAGGCGGCAACTTGGAAAGGGAAAATGTTCGTTACGCCCGCACACCAACAACAACAACAGCAATGGGTAATAGAACAACAACAACAACAACAACAACTACAATGACATTATTCTTGCTATATCGATACACAAATTGCTTTACATTCTATCAATCAAGCTGCCCCATCTGATTAACACTTGGCACACCCAAGCGTTCCATTGTTCTTGCTGCTCGGATAGCAGATAGAGAACTTAGCAAAAAAAAAGAAGAGGAGGAAGAAGAAGAAAAAAAGCAAGCTTACTTCACTAAGCCGCAGCTCACATACCCTTATCGAGCCTGAGTGCAGCTTATGGCAGCTGAGTTGACTCGACTAACTGCTCCAGCATTGTGGACAGATCGCAGCGAAAGCAAAAAATCTCGCACAGCATCAACAACACAGCCACATTGTCTAGCCCCTACTCGTGCTGGGGGACACAATTGTTCGGAATGGCCACTTGTCAGGGTATCCGAAAATGTGGCCCGCCAAGCTGCGCTCATCAATAATTTGATGGCAATTTCTCGCATCTCATATTGATGCATGGCAATTTGTATGGATTTTCCAGGTATTTCACCTAAAGATAAACGAATCGACCAAGATTCGAACTGTGCCAGTTTCCACTAGCCCACTAGACTACCAGCCCACCTGCCCACCTGCTTACCTGCCCACGTGCCCGCCTTTGGCTCCAGCGACTGTCACGCGTACAACGTTTTGTTCCTTTCCATTTTTTCCTCTTCTTTTTCCCACTTTCTTTTTTTGCGCTTGCTTTATTCTTTTGTCTTAACGGCTTCTTGTTGGCGTTGCTAAACGTGTCAATAGACCTGTGCTTAAGTATGGCACTGCATCCGCCCCCAACCCCGTCCCCGCCCATACGACTTGTTCTCTTTTTGGTTTCTTCATTTCTTCCTCTCTCTTTTTTTTTTTTTTTGCATACTTAAAGACACTCACTAAAAAATAACAGAAAATCTGAAGCCTCCGGCAGCGATTCTCCAAAGGAAAACGTGAACTTGTCGCATATGGGCGGCATGGCAGGTGGATTGGGCCAGGTGTGTCAGGCTGGCCAGGTGGATTCAGTAGCTACCTAAACGGTGCTTTCTCTGTTATTTTTAGCTTAACTCATATTATTTTATTTTATACTATTTGGTTTTCATTTATTTGCATGCCACACACATACGCACATACACACACACACACACACTTATATCGGAACTCTCATGCTCTTAAACACGAGCCAAAGAAAACAACAAAAATTGACAACGGCAAATAGAACAAAAACATTTTGACAGCACAACGGAACGGCAGACACGCAGGCCGGCAATAAGAGAGAGAGAGAGAGAGAGAGAGAGAGAGAGAGAGAGAGAGAGTGAGTGAGACAGTGATAGAGGTATAAATTATGCGAATTATCAAGTGTGAGAAGGGGAGGCAGAGGTAAAGGCAAAGGCAAAGCAAAGGTAGAGGCAGAGGTAGAGGCAGAAGCACAGGCAAATGTAGAGGCATAGGCAAAAGAAGAGGCAGAGACTGAGTGAGCTTTAAACAGGTGAGAAATATAGTGCCAATCCCGGCAAAGCGATGCCAATACGAACTTCAAAGAGACAATGGAAATCTGGGAAATTTTAACTGAGAGGAGGAGGAGTTTGCTCTTGGATTTTGTAAATATTCAAAAAATATCAATGAAAAAATCAATTAAATCTATATAGTAAAAAATAAAAATTATTCAAGTTTATTATTTGCATATTTAAAATGGATAAAATTGTAGATTTATATAAATAAAAAATTAAAATGAAACAAGTAAGAAGGCTCCAGTCGAGACTGCTCGACTAGGAGATACCCTGAACCCTCCAAACTGATATTCTAATCATTCTGGACTTCTTTTATGCACACATACATACACATGCACGTATAAGCACGCGCTTTGCAAACTGCGCAGCTAGCAGCGGCTGCGCTTGGGCTGCACTGCAGTGTGGGCAATATAACGAGAATTTATTTGTTGAATAATTTCTTTTGTAGACATACGATCTTAATGAAACTTTTAGAGCGTAATCATATGGCTTAAATGTGTGTACATTTCAAAGCACAAGTCTCTAGTACTTGAAATGCGTTTTTTACAAATTGGGGGCGAAGGGGGCGNGATAAACTTGTACTGCCGATAGTATGCATGCCAAATTTCAGCTCTCTAGCTCTTATATCTTCTGAGATTCTTTTGCTCATACGGACGGACAGACGGACAGGGCTATATCGACTCAGCTCGTCGTCCTGATCAAGAATATATATACTTTATGGGGTCTGCGATGATTCCTTCTGCCTGTTACATACTTTTCACAAAACCATTATACCCTGATTTCCCATTTTCAATGGGTTCAGGGTATAAAAATGTGTTTCGCTATAAATTCGAGCAAAATAAAATTGATAAAATTGATATTTAAATTGAAAACAAAATTTCAATTAGCGAAAATATAAGCCGCATATACCTTATTAAGCCAATTGTAATGCTATAACTAAAATTAGAATTGATAACTAGATCCACATCAGTGTGGAAAAAAATATATAATAATTAAAGTTTAATAAACCTTCTATTAGCTAGTTGTGTGGTCAGACCGACGCTTAATGTGGGATGAAAACAATTTAGCGCATGCCACATATGTACGTACATGTTTCTGTGTGTGTGTGCCTGTGTGTGTGTGTGTTTGTTTGCGATGCAGCGAAAAATCTACATAAATTAGTTTGGTTCGCCAGGCATGAGGCAGGCAATGGCGTAATTTTATGTAAATTTCATTTAAAAACTGTTCTGCAAATGCAAAACAATCAACAACAACAACAACAACAACAGCAAGTTGCATGTGGTATGTGGCATGTGGCATGTGGCATGCAGCATACGCCATGCGGCGATATGTGAGACACGCGCTTCCATACAAGCAAAATAAACCTGGGCCTGTGCTTGTATTAACCTGCTAGCTATTAGCTGTGGCTGACTCTGTGTGAGTGTGTGTGTGAGTGGGCGTGGCTGGCTGTATGAATGCATGTAATTGCCAGCTTACATCTGCTTATCAGCTGTGTCAAAGCAGAGCACAATTTAAATCACTTGTACTTTCTACTCTCTCTCTCTCTCTCTCTTTCTCCCACTCTCTCTCCCTCTCTCTCTCTCATTCTTTGCCTTTATATCATTTGATAAATTTTCGTTTTTCATGCTACAATTTGCATTTATTTTTCAATACTTGCTGACACAATCACAACAGTAACTTCTGCTGCCTCGGCTCCCTCTCCGTCTCCCTCTCTCTCTATAATATACATTTCCCTCCCTTTCTCTCTCAGTCCCTTGTGTGTTTTCCACACTGAATCGCTGAGATTGTTGTTAATATCGCAATTTGCTATTGCACTGCCAGCAGCCATTGGCCTGCCATCATTAACATCTTCGGCATTCGCATTCATTTCGCCAAGACGCTGACAGGACGTCAGCGCTTAGCACAGCCCAGCCGAGCCCAGCCGAGCCCAGCAGCAGGACGATAATATCCTGGCGCTGACAGCCAGCAGCAGAAAGCAATCGAAATATTTCAAATACCCAATACAAATAG